TAATAGCGATTTAGTTAGTGATTTTTTGAATTAGGATACCGTGAGGTTAATCCAGATGAGCACCCAGCTCTATTTCTGTAAAAAGTTTTTTCAAGAGAAATCGTTTCTTTATTATTAATAATTATTGTTATTATTTTAGTGTTCTATATGCGTATCGAGCTTCAAAAAATCGAGTACAGATTCATTTGTTAGAAATATTGCTTTAAACATATAAAAATTGAGTAATTGTAAAGAATAACAAAAAATTTTTTTTTAACAGACACGCATTTGGGCTGAAATTAATGACAGATTTCTTGTTATTTTATCATAAGAAACAACTGTAAAAATTTTGAGAAAAATCGGCGTCTGACATTTCTTAAGGTTTACTTGTCAGACAGATTGACTGGATCGCTTACCTGAGCTACGACTACCTACGCCTCGACCGACTTCTTCTTTTCCTTCTTCTTTTTAAGGAAGGATGGCGTCCTAAGGCCCTTCTTCTTCTTCTTTTCCTTCTTTGGCGATTCCTCGCTAACGCTCACATCCTGCGACATGGAACCCTTAACACGGAAGGTCCCAACCGTAACCATAAACCTTTCTGCATGCACATGCATAGAGCGTCGAACTTTCACGCTTAATCGTTCTATTAGCCAATTATCTGGTCGCATGCAAATCGATACGATAGAAGAGTTTGTAGAAGGCGAATCTATGAACGACTATGCCGGCTGTATTGTGAAAATTAATGCAAAAAGTGAAGCGACAATTCGCTTGAATTAAACACGCTCTATAGCTCTTCTTATAACATTATAAATCAAGGAATATCTTATTCCATGTTTGATTAAAATAGCATTCCCATGTGTTAACGAATGCATGAGAAACGTGATATGTGAAAGAAACCCGACGTACATATGCGGAGATTTGTTTAAGTTTATTATTTTAGAGAGTGAATCTAGGGCCAACAATAAAAAAACAGTAATCTAAATTGATTTGTGTATAAGCATATCAAGAATCGCTTCAAATATGAATAATAAAACGCGTAAAAAATTAATTTCCGATTCCCCGCATATGGTATATGTGCGGCTTTGATATTAAAAGTATTGCGACAAACCTCCTTGCTACTTTGCGAAAAAGTACTGTGATGAGCGTCCGAGTGATCGCCGTTTACGGTATTCTCTCCTAGAACATAAATAACGGATTATTCAGGACGTGAATCTTTAGATCATTGTGATAATAAGATGATCGAATCCGTAGGCAACAGTAATGACATAATTGATATATTTGCCAAGCAATCTGGAAGCCAAAGGATTGAAATTAATCCCATAAAGCCTAGACAGCTGTCAATTATGTATTATCATGTGTATTATTGTACTTCATAAAAAATGAAAAGCGAGATAGAAACACAGACATCTTACCTTTCGAAAAACGGTGTAGGTTGTTGATACTTGTCAGAGTGTATTCGCCCATGTGGATTTGTTATACAAAATCAATCATTCCCAAGCAAACACGTTTTAGCATCAATCATTCACAGCTTGCAAGATGTATGTATATCATTGAAAAGGTAATGGGATGAACGGTGAGGATTAATGCATGTCCGAATAGAGACAGGTGCAGAAAAATGATAAGCGTTATGTGCAAACTTTTGTATCATCAAACACTTAAAAGCTGTTGCAGTAAATATTTGAAAATATATTATATTAATGGAAATAATATAAATGTTCACAATGTGTTATAAGTTCGCTTATAGTTACAATGTCGTTAGAAAGAGATAGTGTAAGTGCATATTAGAATGTAACGGTCAATTAAACTTATTATCAAGAAAATAAAGCAAAATATTCCAATTAACACATTGCACTAAACAACAAAATCCTTCATTTTTAAGTTTACAATGTAACAAAAATAAAAAAGAAAAAGTAAACAAAACTGAAAATATTAGAAAACAAACAATATTAGCACTTTTATAAACGTCAATACTAAACTGCACGTAGGAAATTGTCAAACTGTCTTTCTCGATTCATATGTGCTAAAAATCGATCGCACAAAAGATGCGCTTTGTTCGTGCATAAAGAGACGTTACAATTATAAAAGTTAAAAGAAAAGAATAGAATCATCAAAACTTAATAGACATAAAATAACGCGAATTCCTTAGCATTTAACATTTGCACGCGTACTTATATAAATGTCTTTCTTTGCTAGCTTAAGATATGTAGAAAATCAGCGCATTGAACAGACTAAATAAACGCGCATAAAATGGTATGTAAGATCAAGTATACAAACTATTCGACAAGACGCTTTTCAAAGATATGTGAACATTAAGAGAAAGAAATTTTAAATAGAGCACCGACACGCAAGCTAAAACGCTGTTGTGACGCGGTTGTGTATATCGACGAATCAATCGTCGAAATGCTTTTCCCCTTTTTTCATCAAGAAAATAATATACTCTTTGGTAATTCAATTAAACAACAATCGCCAGAATTAAGAACACGGTGTCATTTTTCTGAAAGACGAGTGGAGCGCTACGCGCTCAATTGTGACTTGTCTGCGAGCGCTTTCTCCAGACGCATAAATTCTTTGGTCTCGTACGAATACGACATGCAATCTATGGAGGCATCCCAGACATTGCACTGTTCCTCAAGATCGTTCATCTCGTCGTTATCTGAGATAAGGACGGAGCTGACTTCGGAGATCGTGTAGGTGTCGTCGAGGGAAATATGCTTTCTCGCGGGATTTGCTGTCGTATCTTCTTCGATAATATCGCAGGCTTCCAACGATTCATCATAAATTTTCAAAGCAGGCGTTACGGAATCGACTACCTCGTGAAAAGCATCATCCGGTTCCTCGCTTATAGGCGTCAAACAACTCGTTTTATCCCTTATCGATTCCTCTTCCTCGCGGCAATAGGAACATCGTTCGTACGGCCATGTTTCTGATTTCATCACACTTTCACCGTCTCTCGTTTTACCGATCTCGATACCGCGATCATCGTCGATCGAGTTTTCACTAAATAGACGAAGACGAGCGCTTGGCGACATATTCGCATATTCGTCAGTCGAGACTTTGATAACGCGAAAGTTTAATTCCAAAGCGCTATTGTCAATGGTAACGGTCGGTAATTTCTTCGCCACGGTACAGAATTCAATCACGGCGGGAGATTCGCTATCTTCCGGCTCGCGTACCTCCATTTCGTAATTCTGATTATCGTAATCGTCATAGTCCAATGATAGATTCGCCAGAAAACCTTTAATTCGACAAATATTGTCATTGCTGCTTGCGAAGACATCCGGCATGCATGCTCCAATGATAGATTCCACGAGCGAGCACTCGCGATGGTAACTGTTGATCAAGTTGCGCACTGTTTCTCTTACAATGCTGAGGTCGTGAATAGAGGAATCTAACTGCAGTAGAACATAAATGGACTCGATAATCTCGGCAATGATCTGCTGTACGACTTCTATAGCGTCGCTAGATGGCAACACTTCGTTGGACGCATTGAGATCGGCGATGATCTCGTTGGCGGATTCATTGATTCCGTTGAGAAAGACTTCGCCGTCGATATCATTCAGTTCGCGAATCGTGCAGCTTGGTAATTCAAGTATATCGGAGCCACTTGCCGAATGCCTTTCGGATTCTAACTCTGCGCTGCTACTATCGCTTGACAACCTGTGATCTCGCGTGAACTTGACGCATTCTGCCTTTATCGTGGGAGTCTCCGGCTCTATCCATATGTAATCGTTCAATGGCTCATCGTTGTCACTTCTCGTTGAATCAGACTGCCACTCCGACGAGCGATCCGCCAAGTCACGCCAAGTATCGTCGTTGCCGCTCTCGTCCCGATCAACGGCCGCCGGCGGGGTCAAGCTGTAAATGAGACTCATATTCGTCGAGTCCAGATTATACTTGACGCAGGTATCCGTGTCAGGCAAGGCGTCCAGTTCCGTCCTCGACGAAGTGATATTCACGTCGATGCTCTCGACAATTTTCGCGATATCATTATACGACTCGTACAAGACAGTCTTTACATTATTCGACCAGTTGCCCTCGTACATGGAACTTTCGATCCAAGATCGAACGCTTTGCTTCTTCAGCTCCGTTGGTTTCAATTCACCATTTATTTCTTTATCTGCCAACGTCCCATTGTCGTCGCATTCATAATGATCGATGGAATGCCCGTCGCAAATATTGAAAGATAAATTACTCAGCAGCCGCGAGTCTTCTTCGTTATCACCGTTATCATGCTGAAATGTTTCAGCGCAGCTGTGCGCAAGTGTCACTTCCGTATTCGTCGTCATTGTTGTTGTCATTGTATGCTGGTGTTCGTTATTCGTGTCGACTGTCGAGTCTATCGATTTATCTGGACGAGTTGTTGAAGACTGCGTTTTTATGGAAGCAACCGTCTCGATCGTTGGACATTTAGCCCTTTCATGGTGTTCTATTTCCTCCTCTGTCTGACTGTCACCGTTTATGTAGGACATGATGTTAAGCGAACTCGGCCTCGTCTCGTCCATGTTAACACGCTTGACGAAACTCGGTTGCGCGATATTTGCCCATGTCACAGAATGTATTGCGACGTTGTTGCTCGACAGCGTCTCATCGTTCAGATTCTCGATGTGTTCTTTCGTACTTGCGTTTGTCAAAGGCACGTCAGACAATTTGACAAGATGAGCATTTTTACTTGGACTCACCATGGAATTTCGTTCAGGTATTAACTCGTTTTCCTTATTATTAATGCTAGTCATCTTCGCTGTTGTCAAGTCAGTTTCTAAATTCTTTTGACGTTCAAGATCTTCGAAAAATTTCCGTCTCACCTCGTGGCGCGATTTTACGAAAATTTCATTCCGAGAGATTGCATTTGCAATCTCGTTTTGCCCGTTAAAGTACGTTTTCGTACGTGTGATTAGAAGAGGTTTCTTTCGTTCGGCGATCGTCGAAACTCTAACATTCTCCAAACGGGGGTTATAAGGATGCTCGGAGAACCGCCGACCGTAGTACTTTCGCACACACTCGCTGCTTACGCTGCTGTAATTGCTGGCTAGTTCGCAATCTGCAAGCATTACGTCCAAATGTATGTCTTGGACATTGGAATCGGCGAACGATCGATCGGTTTGCTCGCTTTGGAGAAACGGAGAGAACGTTCACGATCACTTGGATACTCTCCACATTCGCGCGAGTCTTCTTCGTTGCTTACGCTGCGCTAAGTACTACAAGTAGTGATAGATACAACCGAAGAAGCTCTACATCCATTCTTTAGCTATGCGTCTCTTTATTTTTGTTTAAAACATATTGCGCGCAAATCAGTTATTTGTTCATCTATCACATGACTATTACTCATCGCAAAAAGATTAGCTATTTGTATTAATCAATTATTCTTCTATTCGTTAACTCATCGTTTAGAAGAAAAAACCAAAGTATGACTTTTATATTTTAGATTGAATATATAAATGAGAATTTTCAAAAATTCTATAGCGCGTTTTATGCAGAAAAAGAGGAAAAGAGATTAACAAAAGTGCATGAACATCAATTATCGGTGCAAGCATAATCATTATTTCGAGTAGTAAAGAAAAATAATAAAGCTTTCGAGACACATGCCGTATATGGTAAGATATTATAGTAAAAGCATGATTTGATTTGATCAGTGATGATATGAAAATGTATATATTTACTCAATCTTTAATATGCATATATGTGCGTTTTATGTAGTTATTGCGGATGGGGAGCGTATTCCATACCAAAAGAAATGCAGTTTATTCCAAATGAAATGTATCAAACAAAATTAAATCGTACAAAAACTATATACCAAGTTGAACTGAAGATAATGCCTTTACATCGCAGCTCAGGCTCCATATTCACGAGTGATTAATCAAATTTTGTAAAACCTCTTCTTTTTAGAATTATTCATTTTTCATTAATTATCGAAAAGTCGCATGTGCAGTTTAGCTATTTTATAAATATGATTCCAGATACGATTTCTTCAGTTGAACATCGTAAACAGTATGTATCAGAGAATAACTCAGAATGATAAATTAGATCCATCCCTATATTTCCCTATATAGAAAAAAACTCACCTCCTTTGTAACCGCTTTGTCGCTCAGTCATTCTGTAGCGCATCTCATTAAGGTACTCTGTAGTAGCATCATTCACTGCATATCAAAAATAAATACGTATACGATTTACACCTGTTTATCAGTAAAATGCTCTTCGTGATCCAAAGTCGTTACGTGACGCTCGATAATGCTATTATGTACATAGTATCCGTGATAGTCACGAAATACATATACCGATGTATTCATCTTGCGAATTATCTGAGTATTTATCACCACAAATTAGGCAACCACCGATTATCTGGGCATTCATCATTACAAATTAGGCAACCACCGATTAACTCGTGCAAAATTATATGTTTTCATGCACGATAACGTGCTGTATTTTAAGGATTAGTGATGAAATTGTTGCAAAGGCGAAGATGCAAATGTCACATGGATTGCTCATAAATAAAAAGTTACGGCCATGCAAGAATCGGAGTTGAATTAAAGCAATCGTCTCGTCGTAACTTTACTAATCACTCATTAAGAAATTTATGGCAGGCTCATGGTATAACACTTATTTGGGGAAGAATAAAAAAAAACAGAAAAAAAGATAAGGAAAGACTCACCATCGCTTAACACAACTTCGGGTTGACTCGGCACAGGCACTTGTTTCGTTTCTATTCTCAATACTCGGGGTTCTGTAGCAAAGGAGTATACGCGAGTATTCATTAATAATATAAAATAAAAATATATACATATATATTGAAAGGTCAGAATGTGATACATTCAATGATATGTATGGAAACCCGTTCGTGAATTAAACACATAAATTTACCGTCTCTACTCTCCTCCTCTGTTTCCGAAGTAACAGAAACTGGTGACTGAATAGGACTCTTGGCAGTGCTGGATTCATGCGTCGCACGACTGATGTTAAAGGATGACAAGGCCTCGGATTCTGATTGTGATTCATCGTCTATTTACAGAATAGGTAATATTAATGGTTCCATTTCGGTGAACATTAAGTGGATACAGAGTATTCTAAGATACAGGATACAAATACAAGACGCATGCATAAATACGGGAAAAGATTGGACAAGAAAAGTGACGAATGGAACTAACAAGGATCTCCCTTCTGTTTGCGTTCGACTTCTCTCTTGTATTGATCCAATTCTTGATCCGTGACGGCGTCGAAAGGATTTTTGGCATAAGGTGTCTTGTACACCATCGCATTGTGTTGGAAACCACGCTGTATAATACCCTTGCTAGCGGCTCCTACTAAAACTACTTGTTCTCCGGTACCACTAATTGTCGCGTCCTTGTAAACAACGAGTATGCAAGTTAAAGATAACATATATGTTTTCTGCAGGGATTTATAAAATAACTAATATAGTTAAAAAAATGCTATCGTTTCAATTCAAATTCAAACTAGAACAGTACATGATTATTGCTACTTAACGGGAAGTTTTTTCTTATTGCTAAATTTATTAAATGGGATGTATCTAAATTGGTTTAAATCAAGAAGACTCGATGCTTAAATTTGTGTACCTGCATTTTTTTAGCTTCCTCCCACGATACACCTTCCAATATATGAGATTGCGGACCAGCCGATATTTTCTCTGCTCGTCGATAATCTTTAATCTAGGGAGACGAAAGTGTATCAAACTTGTACGTTCCCAATTATACAAACTAGCTGATATACGAAAAGAATAGAAACAAAGACAAATAGGATATGATGCAAATATAATTGACTTACCTGCTGTTGTAACTGTTTGAATTCCTTTGGGTTGGTATTTTTCGGAACAAACTGAAGAGCACCGTCTATCTTGACTGGTGTGCTGCTATGGGTAGGAGATCCATCAGACACCCACTGCACACACAAAACCAGAACATTAGTCGACCCCCTTCAAATCATTGTAAGAAGCAACTATGTTAACATAAAATAAGACTCTTGCATGCTATGTGTGCCTGCTGCATATATATATATATTTCACTCCCCTTTTAATAGATTATCCCATAATAATTAAAAGCAAACATATTTTCAACATAATAATTTTGTTATTGCAGCCATGTATCATGTTGCAATCCATATTTTACATTAACTGTATAACAATATATTCAATATCTAACGTAATTCAAAACAAAATTCAATACAATTACATGCAATGCTGCTACAACTCGGCAATCTAACAACATTAATTGCTATGCCTAACATTTAGTTTTAAGGAAATAGCTTAGATTTGCAAAATGTGAAGGGTCATTTGATCTGGTTTTGTAAATGCAGTGGGCTCTGTGTAACCAGGCCAACAAGATCTTGATGATGAGATCAGGCACACATTCATACAGAGTCATGAGAAACACTTGTATATGTTTCATACATATCTTTTATAACTATTGTGGCAAAAGTACGTTTGAAACGTGCTTAAGCAAAATACAGTACAATATATTAAATTATTATTTTATACCTCTCTTATACAGTAATAAAATAAAATAAAACTCTATTGCACTTTTATTAAATGTACGAAATTTTTACCCCAAGATTACACATAAAGTTACTGTTGATAGGGAATAATTTCGCAGAATAGATGGTTTCAAAATCATATAATTAGTGTCAATAAATATATTGTAGACGACAACATACACATAACTTCGCATCATATTATAGAAAGCGCTAAATTTATTAACGTAGCGGCGTCTACAAGCTAAGAATAGTACTTGGAACGTTATTAAAGTTGAAGTTTCATTAAAGTTGATATAATCATCTTTAAACAGCACGTATAACTTTATTTAAACATCAAGAAGCTACAGAAGAACAGTCGTTAATATCTTATATATATATATATATAAAGATACTTATACTAACGATTGACTGGAATTCAACATGTTTCGTAACTTTTGCGGAAATGTTGACCGCTCTCGTTCTGTCTTTCGTTTTGCGTGTTTTATTATTATTCTTATTATAAATTATTATAAAAGATTTCGTATTTTTGTTTATTAAATAGTGATAGTATGAGAACATTTTTTTACGATTTGAAAAAATGAGTTACGTATCTAATCATGCCGTTAATCTTTGTCGAAATACAGATAAATTCATAATAAAAAATATTACATTTTTTAATTGTGTCTATAAAATAAGGAATAATGCAATGATAATAATTCATGTTAGTCAATAATTTTCATACTGCGAGACAATTACATTGTATGTACGTCGATAAAAATTTGTACATCAAAAAATTTTGACATTATAATTTAAATAATAAAGATAATATATATATGTTTTTTCGTTAATATCAGGTATGATATAAAGTGACCAATGCTTATACACATAAAGCACGTACGCGTGTACATACACACAGGCACATATAAACACATTGGCCATAGCATAGAAAATGTGATTTTTGTTACAACTTTGAACTTTTAAGTAATTCATTATATTGCATTAATAAGCTTTTATTAAATAAAATCAAGCTCTGTTGTAACAAGAGTTAAATTTATATCTATAATTTAAAAAGAGCAATATATATGTCAGTATAACCAACATCAATATAATGATATATTATATTGTTTGTTCAATGAGACGTTTACCATGATTAAAACAATTACATAATTTAAAAGATACATTTTAACGTATCAGCATGTTAAGAATTAATAGCATGAGTTGGAATGTTTGGATTTGATATAAATAATCGAATTATTACACATTGGTATGTGTTTGTATAATTAAAATTAAATAAAATAAAGAAATTTGATAAAAAAAAAACAAGATAAAACTATACAACACAGTATGGTAAAATGCAACTGACTGCTAACAAAATGGAATAACCAATGCTTTACATCGCATTGCATATATGGATATACTATCTATTTACGGCCGTAAATATGCGCATTCGTCTTTCTCAATCATCGCTAAAAATATCTTCAACAACAGTGTTCGATAAAATAAAGTTATTATTCACGGAAAACAAACTATGAAATCTTAATAACATTACCGTAATATTAAATTCACGAAAAAATCTAATATCGACAAAGTGTTTTCTTTTAAATTGAAAGTTAAATTTGTGATACAATGGCAAAAGGAAATATTTATCAAAAAGTCTAAAACAGATTTATATTCTCAAATCAAAAACTCTATAAACAAAAGTTAATATAATAAACGGTTCTACTTGTATATTAATATATGTTATAACTATTAATATGTATATTAATATGTCATAACTATTTAATTTTGCACTTGACACATTTAAAGCTTTCCTTTTTCCTTCGTTCGGAAGTCGTAATTCGATTAGCAGCCACAATACGCGATTATATTTGCCAAATATGAATGCTTGCTTATAATAAATTTAGCCTCGAGCGAAATCGTGCGGTAAATAATTATTAGTCGGTCTTATTCTCAAAAGTAATGACTTCTACCTTGGTGATCTTTTTAGGATCGGGTGTTCCAGTTTCCAGGATTTCAACCTTCTGGTAAACGTTTGGCGAATTTAACCAACGGGATCTGTCTGTGCCTTTACGTCCGCCCTTCCACAGCCTGTTTGAGAAAAGAAAAATCAGTTAAGCATTGATTTAGTTCTATAATATCGAAACAAAATATGTTCGAAGGGAAGTAGAAGCTTACCCTTGCTTATATAATTCCTCTTCTTCAAGCAGATATCCTAAAGACGATACGGCCGGTGGAACTTCAACATCGTTTCGTGGTTTTGGGGGTTCTCCCTTTACAAGTGGATTCCTATATATGTAGCCCGTACGGAATCCCTGAGAAAAAAGAAGAAACGCGACATTCAGATGAATTCTGATGCAAGTATTATAGCGGTGAATGGTTCTGTAGGACTTACAGCGTTGTCAAGCATTCTCATAAGGGCCTCGAATTCAGCGCCGCCAATTCTCCAGCGTTTCTCGAGTTTCTCCGCGAGAGCGGACGACTCTACCGCTGAGCTTTGTTGCTGCGGGATCGGCGGTTTTCGCGACGCTTCAAATATAGCTTTTTTCGATTCCTCGCTGATAAGGCTTAGATTATCTACACCTGCGGGCATTAGTTTTAGTTGCGTCTCGCAGGCGACTACAGTATTGTAAACGTTAAAGAACGCTTCTTCCACTGTTTCTCCACAGCAAAGGGCGCCGCGATTCGTCAGGAGCATAACCTTATTGATCGGCCCGAGATTTCTAGCAATCTTCTCCCGTTCCTCCGGCTCGACGGAACCTCCTATGTATTGATGGGTGCTCACTTCACCTATCACTATGCTCTCTTGACCGATTGGTAACAATCCACACTTCAAGGAGGAAACCTACGTATCATATCACGCGTACGTCAGTCAATTACTTTCAAAGCAGAGCTAATAAATGTTCATCATCAATCTATTAAAGTGATATCACGCAATCGAGAATATGCAAACGCTCGTAAAAGATATACGAGACAAACGAGAAATGGATCATCGCAGAGTGAAGAAACTAGAGACGAAACATTTACTTACAGCGGTAACGGACGGAGTAGTAATGTGAATAATACACTTGATATCGGGTCTCGCTGCGTGTATTGTCGAGTGTAATTGAAAACCAGTGATGTGCACGCCAAAGTTTGTCGTCCCCTGCTCGACAATCGTGCCCTGCATGTCCACCTTGATCAAACTCGAGGCGGTAACCTCGTGATAGAGTAGCCCGTAAGGATTCACCAAAAAGTGCTCCTGGTCCTGATTAAGACGGGCAGTTATTTGCCCGCCGACTCCCTGCGTCCATCCGTAGAGATCAAGCAATCTAAACACCGCCGCCATCTTACATCGCAACAATTTCTCGCCCTTGGCGTATCCCATGCTTTCCACGCCGCGAATGTCGTTGATAGGCAAGACGCAATTCGAATCTACACATTTCCGAATGAACCGGGTTAGAATAAAGTCAGACTAAAAAAAGGGGGAAGGGGAGGGCGTTTTCAAGGAATAATAATTTCAAACGGAGCAGGACTAACTTTTGAACACATTGCCGTTAAACCGGGCTCCCTGTGCACCCATCATGTCAGAGATCTGTTGCAGGAGACCAGAGGGTCCAGCACCGTCCCTCATCTGTGTCTCAATTATACGTTCCAGCTCTTCCCGGAAGATTCGTGAGTTCATCATCATCTCGACCCTCTTTCTCCTCTCCATTTCTCTCATATCCTGTAAATGAATAGAATTCTCTCGTTTAACACATTTACACGGTTGGAGTAATTCGTTTGCTTTTCAAGCCTTTCTTGCGCTGGCGAAATTCGAATAAATAACCATTGAAACTTTCTTCGATTTCTATTATTGAAGAAACGTTGAACCGCCGTATATTCTGCGAAACTTACCGCATCGATATCGGCGGGGGGGGTGAGGCTCGCTTAATGCTTGTTGGCTCGTATCTGCCATCTTCGAGCCTCGTACAAGTATCGGCAACTGTAAAGAATAATGTTCTAATATCATCACTAGCTAGCAAAAATGCCTTGATAAATTTTCGGCATTATTTATTCCAAATCGCGTAAAGCGATGTCCACTAATAGAGTAGCAAATTTTAAGGATTTATTTAGATACACTTGCATAGTTGCATAATTATGTGCGTAAAGAAAATTATCCAATTATACAGACAATTGAATTTCTACCATAAAGACGTACACAAAATGTGATTGAATAATTTTCTTTGTGCATACGTTTATGCAGCTATGCAAGTCTGAATAGTCCTAAGAAATTGATCAATCATAGTCAATTATTCTCTTCACATTCGACTATGATTGGTCAATTTCTTACGACTTACTATTCCATTGTAGACACCGTGTAATAGGCATTAAAAGTAGGAACGCGCAAAAGCACCAAAAAAAGAAAAATATTAATAGTAATTTAATAATATTAAAAATTGATATTAATATCAAAATTCAATGATATTAAATTAATATTAATAAATTAAATTTCTAACAATATGAAATAAACAATCGCATCGCGTGGCAAATTAAAAACTTTTTAACGCATCTGTTCTAAGAACAGCGAACAATGAAGTATGGAATCGACCAGAACAAGTAAAAACTGAAAGCAATGAAGGTCTGTTTTAGTGTTTCGCCGAAGCATGCCGTTTCGTGTACGCGAAAGCGGCATTCGTACTCGTTTCTCCCGAATCCGGTGCGAGGTATGGACACCTTACCGGTGTGCGATCAATAAAGTTGCGGGGCCCTACCGGGAATCGTGTGCGTGCAACGACGCAAACACCGTGTACGCGTTACGATATGATTCCCTATATTCTCCGAGGGGGTTTCGGGGGTTCCACGTCTGTCATTCGATCCCTTTTTTTTTTCCCTTAATTACTCGTGCAGCGGGCATCGTTCCGTTAACGATGTAAAGTAGAATGCTCAACTGTGCCGGCTATTTTACTCGCCGCGACGTTCGCTCAACTCGGGATCTGTGTCAACGGTCGTTCACCGCCGCTTGGCTTTCCTTACACCAAGTACCGGTGCATCGCACCACGCAACGCTCTCGCACCCGGCTACGCGCGTCCTCATCCTACGGCATCGCGCTTTTCTCCTTTTCACGCCGCGTTTCCCTCGTCATCATCCATCGGCCGGAAATCCCACGCTGAATGTTTCGCTAGCGTGAACATCGTTACGTTGTGAGTTGTGACCGCAACAGCGCGTTCTAATTCGCGAAATGTATTCCCTTTCGCCTGGCAACTCTGGTTGTTCTCTCATCGAGATCGATATACACGACGGAGATCACTCACGAAAGACGCAGATTGACAAGTCGCTTATCAGCGAGACCGATTCGCTTCGCCGCCTGTGACTTGAATTTCCGACTTGTTACCGCTCCGGAAAACGTGTGTCATGCGTGTGCACTTCCGCTGCAACAATGAATAAAAGAAACGAGAAAGAGGGAAAAAAGCACGATGGTTGACCGCAGGATTACGTAGCACGCAAGCGCGAAACACAATAGCACCCGTCCGATTGTATAAGGACCAAAATTCTTCCCTCCACATGATTTTATATATATATATATATATATGTCTCGTATTCCCTGATACTCTGTATCGAATAGTAATCGATAATCCCGTGGACTTAATGTGAGACAGACATGTGAACAGTCTTGATATTTTGTTTACTCGGCGCTGCGTTACACGTTTCGAGATTTATATTCGTCGATTATCTCATCATTATGTTATGTTTCGTAACTATTTTTCCTTTTGTACATGCTTTTGTATACAGATATTTTTATCATCAATATTTGTTAATATTAATTATAAGAAAATTGATATTAATATTTTAAATAAATATTAATATTGATTACAAGAGATATTGATATATTATATCAATTTTATACATGTACATATAAAATAATAGCTAGTAAACACAAACGGTATCTAACGCGAAAATAACGCCTGGTATTTGTAGAATATCGTCATTTGAAATGTTGCCAAGTAGAAGGAACGCTCGACAACGATTCTCTTTCGTCAACCAAGATGTCTGTATGTACTTTCGATATACTTTGACCGAATTTAGTTTGGAAACATCGATCAGAAAAAAGAATGCAGTGGCGACCGTGAACGATGGCGCGGTGCGAATTGATGATAATTAATGTTAAGGGGTTGAGGTATTCGGAGTAAGTGGCTTCGTTTAAGTCCCTCGCGTATACGCGCGTTTGGCTTCGTTGACAGCATGATACGGTGCCGTAATATTGGCTGCGATACCGATCAAGTGGCAATCGACGAAAAAAAAGAACGTTACGTCAACAGGAACACGAGGTATGTTTCCGTGAACAACGAATGCTCGACCACAATGATCTTTTCGAGCAGACGAAGAAATGGGTTTCTATAATGTATAAATCACTGGCGCGATGCACTACACTGTTAAAAATTTCATGAAATTTAATATACTTTTAAGTTACACAATTTGAACTTAATTTCACGACATTTAATTAAATTTAATGTGTATTTATAACTGAAAAGTATATTTGTGTACACGTACACAAAATTTAATGTATTTTTCATGAAAATGTATGAAATTTAATGTACATACGTTCATTACATTTAAGTAACGACTGTAATTTAATTTTCAGTTAAATTATTCATTACTTTTAATTTCGTTCATAACCACGAGCTTTATTTACATGTAAAGGAAATTCACGGTTACGTTTCTAACAGTGTTATGTACTTTTAAACTCTCTGGAATTTTTAGCGTAAATCTCACTCTAAAGAGTGAAATTTCACTCTTAAAAATTGAAAATTGAGTCACACTTTTTCAAAATTAGCTCAATTTTCACTCTTTAGAATGAGGACCTGCGCTTTAAGGTTTCAACTTAAAAGAAAACCAGTTACACCGGAATACACAGTTCTGATAGATCGAAATTTTAACATTTATAGCTATTCCTAATATTTCCTCTGTTGTGTGTGAGGTTTGAGATTCCACTTGAGAGAATTCAGAGAGAGGTAATCATCAGTTTCCCTGTACATTCGCAGCCGTTCGTGCGGCCGTACCTCGGCGAAGTTCTACAACTGCGAACCGAAGCAACAACAGCGACTTCTATTTCAGATCAGTAGAGTTCCATCTTCCCGGAGTCGCGTCCCATTTGTAAATAACGCTTATCTTCGACGATAACGGGACAATGCGGGTCTCACCGCAAGCTGAATGAAAGCGATCACGGGCCGAGTTCGCTACGCTTACTGGCGCGAGTCTATGAGTCCTCGTCTTAAAATAGAGAGGGACCAGGGACGGAGTCGAAGACGATCCGCGCGTTTTCCGTCAGCTAATCTCGCTTCTTTCTCTCGTTCCAGGTATCAGGAATCGCGTGTTCGAGGTACACAACCATTTCCTACCTCACCTTCACTTTAAGCGGCACTGAAACAACGAAGAGCGTTCTGTAAGTCCACGATTAATCGGATAGTATCTCGCATCGATTCAACGGATCCATTGTCAGTTTCGCTGTCTCTATCTCGGGCCTGTTATTTTTTAACCCGATGATCGATCTGTATGTAGAAGGTAGAAGCGACCGTGATCGAAGAAAAAAAAATGAGGGAAAGGCTCGAAACGATCCGCGTTGTTGCGACGCGACGCGACGCTCGATACGAGGACTCGTATGATACAATGATTAGTGATCTCTTACGCAACCCGTAGCCGTGGAATTATACGCAGTGCGTGCGTGCGTGCGTGCGTGCGTGCATTCGTGTGCACCTGCACACGTGCTTGTCTCACTCGCACTTGTTCGCCGGCTCGAAGAGATACGAGTTTTTCGAGTCGATTTATTGGAGTTGTATGGGTCTGTTCTTTGTAGCTGAACTAGCATACGCTCGTTATACTTCAAATAAAACAACTATTTGAAGTTGGCTAAAGCGAGATAGAAAATTTTAGAGCAGTCCAGTCAGCGACAAAGAACAAGCCTTAAGGTTGACTTTAGTAGAAAAAAAAACAGCTTTGCAACTATTGTGAGATTTTTTAATATGATTAGTTCCTGCTAATAGTTTCTAATTTTTGCTAATAATTTCTAAATCTGAATATACAACCCAATCGCATTAAAGAATCTTAAACATTTGCAAAGCTTCCTTTCTTTGTGTAGTTTTTGTTAGTCAACTGGTATGTCAATTGGTCTGAATCTTTAGAGACGGTAAGCGTAGTTTGATTTTAAATTTAAGATCATCCCGAGTATAAGGTTTGTTTTTTTATTGCTGCACTTTGTTTCTCCACTGGGGAAAGAGTCTGACTGTATTAATTGGAATTTTGATTGAAAATGAACAAATCAGAATTTCCTGGTTAAATCTATTATATAATTCTAGTTGAAGATAACTAGAATTTTTATTGATATGATCAGAACCTTCTGGTTTGTTTATTTTCAATCAAGAATTTTTTCAGAGCGTATTTATCAAAAATTAAACATACATATCTATTTCATTTGAAGTGCAAAGAGCATATACAAGAAACACTAGTTGAGGAATAAAACACAGATCTATGAAGATTCTATCCAAAGTCAATAAAATAAATCTAAAATAATTCCACAAAATGTTCTAGAATATTCTAGATAAATCAACAAAACCCGGTCAGAATAGCACTTTGGTGAGGCCAAACAGAATTTCTGATTATCACAACTATCTCTGGCCTCAACAAAATTCTGGTTGAATCTTTTAGCAGGTTTAAGCAGAACATTTTTCTCTGTGTACATTTCAAGATGGTAATTAAGATGATCTTAAATATAAGATTGGATTACGAATATCGCTTCAAGCTAGCTGATCTTTCCTTCGAGTTCACTCGTCGAATTATCGTTCAAGAGTACATAATTATCAGAGAACAGCGGGACGAGCGATCGATAACGTCGACGACGACGACGACGACGACGATAAATCGGCCATGTCGATCTGGAA